CACAGCCACGATGAAGCGGGCCATGGGCGGGGCGCGCGCGCGCTCCTGGTGGTGCGTTGTCGTCGTTGTGGCGCGACGGGCAAGTGCTGCCGAGGTGCAAGCGACGTCATGGATGAACGGGTGGCCAAACGACATTGCCGCGTGACCGTCATGGATGGACCATTCTTGCTGATCTCGTGTTGGGCTGCCATTTGTTGTCAAGACAATTCCTCGATCTGACCCATGAGGAGCCGCGATGGCTCGTGCGCTGATGGACGCGCTAGCGAGGCCCAAGAGCCACGGTGCCTGGTCAGATCCGGCACGAAGCACTCCCGCTCAAATGCAGGTGAGAAACCGATCTTAAGCCCTCTTTTGAAGATGCTATCCATGTTGCCCGCTGCCAGAGTCAAGAGCAAGAGTGATATTTGCGAGTTTTGGCGCGCGAAAGGCCGGGTGGTTCTGACGGTAGTGCTGTGTCACAGGGTAGCCGCTGGTGGATGAGGACTCCACAGTGAGCAGCCAAAGCGTGTGAAGAATGCGAGGTGAGCTTTGTTGTGACGTGCGCCGAAAATTTTGACCAGAGGCCCGGCTGCCATTTGGTGTTGGTTGAGGAGCAGGGATGCGCCTTTTTTGTTTTTTTTTGCCCTTGAGGGGGTACTAATGGTGGGGCTGGCGGGTCACAGGGCGGCGAACGGTGGATGAGGACTTCACAGTGAGCAGCGGAAGCGTGTGAAGAATGCGAGGTGAGCTTTGTTGTGACGTGCGCCGAAAGTTGTGACCAGGGGCCCGGCTGCCATTTGGTGTTGGTTGAGGAGCCAAGGCGCGCCTTTGTTTTTGTTTTTTTTTGGCTTGGGCCGTTTTGAGGGGGGGGTACTAAAGGTGGGGCTGTCGGGTCACAGATTAGCCACAGGTGGATGAATACTTCCCATTGAGCAGCGGAAGCGTGCGAAGAATGCGAGGTGAGCTTTGCTTTGACGTGCGCCGAAAACTTTGACCAGGATGCCGGCTGCCATTTGGTGTTGGTTGAGGAGCAGAGATGCGCTTTTTTTCTTGCTTGGCCGTTTCAAAGGGGGTACTAATGGTTATGCTGGCGGGTGACAGGGCGGCCAACGGTGGATGAGGACTCCACAGTGAGTAACGGAAGCGTGTGAAGAATGCGAGGTAAGCTTTCTTTTGACGTGCGCCGAAAATTGTGACCAGGGGGCAGGCTGCCATTTGGTGTCGGCTGAGGAGCCAAGGCGCGCCTTTTTTTTTGGCCCTTGAGGGGGGTACTAATGGTGGGGCTGGCGTATCACAGAGCGGCCAACGGTGGGTGAGGACTCCACAGTGAGCAGCGGAAGCGTGTGAAGAATGCGAGGTGAGCTTTGGTTTGACGTGCGCCAAAAATTGTGACCAGGGGCCCGGCCGCCATTTGGTGTTGGCTGAGGAGCGCGCCTTTTTTCTTGATTAAGCAGTTTCGAGGGGGGGTACTAATGGTGGGGCTGGCAGGTCACAGGGTGGCCAACGGTGAATGAGGACTCCATAGTGAGTAGCGGAAGTGTGTAATGAATGCGAGGTGAGCTTTGTTTCTACGTGCGCCGAAGGTTGTGACCAGGGGGCCGGCTGCCATTTGGTGTTGGTCGAGTAGCCAAGGCGCGCCTTTTTTCTTGTTTGGCCGCTGGGGGGGGACTAACGGTGGTGCTGGCGGGTCACAGGGTGGCCGCTGGTGGATGAGGACTCCATAGTGAGCAGCGAAAGCGTGTGAAGAATGTGAGGTAAGCTTTGGTTTGACGTGCGCGGAAAGTTGTGACCAGGGGGCCGGCTGCCATTTGGTGTCGGCTGAGGAGCCAAGACGCGCCTTTTTTTTTTTTTGGCCCTTGAGGGGGGTACTAATGGTGGGGCTAGCGTGTCACATAGCGGCCTACGACGTGTGAGGATTCCACAGTGAGCAGCGCAAGCGTGTAAAGAGTACGAGGTGAGCTTTGTTTTGACCTGCGCCGAAAACTGTGACCAGGGGGCCGGCTGCCATTTGGTGTTGGCCAAGGAGCCAAGGCGTTTCTTTTTTTTTTTTTGGCCCTTGAGGGGGGTACTAATGGTGGGGCTGGCGTGTCACAGGGCGGCCAACGATGGGTAAGGACTCTACAGTGAGCAGCGGAAGCGTGTGAAGAATGCGAGGTGAGCTTTTTTGTCGACGTGCGCCGAAAATTGTGACCAGGGGCCCGGCTGCCATTTGGTGTTGGCCAAGGAGCGCACCTTTTTTCTTGTTTGAGCCGTTTCGAGGGGGGTACTAATGGTGGTGGTGGTGGGTCACAGGGCTGCCGACGGTGGACGAGGACTCCATAGTGAGCACTGGAAGCGTGTCAAGAATGCGAGGTGAGCTTTGTTTTGACGTGCGCCGAAAATTGTGACCAGGGGCCCGGCTGCCATTTGGTGTTGAGGCGCGCCTTTTTTTTTCTCTTCTTGGTTTGAATCTATTCGAGGGGGGTACTAATGGTGGGGCTGGCGTGTCACAGGGTGGCCAACGATGGATGAGGACTCTCAGTGAGCAGCGGAAGCGTGTGAAGAATGCGAGATGAGCTTTTTTTGACGTGCGCCGAAAATTGTGACCAGGGGCCCGACTGCCATTTGGTGTTGGCCAAGGAGCAAGGCGCGCCTTTGGTTTAGTTTTGGCCGTTGATGGGGGTACTAATGGTGGGGCTAACGTGTTTCAGGGCGGCCAACGGTGGATGAGGACTCCACAGTGAGCAGCACAAGCGTGTCAAGAATACGAGGTGAGCTTTGTTTTGATGTGTGCCGAAAATTGTGACCAAGAGGCCGGCTGCCATTTGGTGTTGAGGCGCGCCTTTTTTTTTTTCTCTTCTTGGTTTGAACCTAATCGAGGGGGGTACTTATGGTGGGGCTGGCGGGTCACAGGGTGGTCAACGGTAGATGAGGACTCCACAGTGAGCACTGAAAGTGTGTGACGATTGCGAGGTAAGCTTTTTTGTGACGTACGCCGAAAATTGTGACCAGGGGCCCGACTGCCATTTGGTGTTGGCCAAGGAGCGCACCTTTTTTCTTGTTTGAGCCGTTTGATGGGGGTACTAATGGTGGGGCTAACGTGTTTCAGGGCGGCCAACGGTGGATGAGGACTCCACAGTGAGCAGCACAAGCGTGTGAAGAATGCGAGGTGAGCTTTGTTTTGATGTGTGCCGAAAATTGTGACCAAGAGGCCGGCTGCCATTTG